TTTTTTAATAAAATTCCTATCAAAAATTTGTAATGTAAATTTGGAAAAACAAATGCAGTAAATGCTGAAATAATGTCCTCTCTCAAATACATAATTACCTCTGCCCTTTTAATTGCTCCCTCTAGCAAGAGATTGAAACAATGATTACCCTGGGTAATTATTTTAGGATTTACGTATTTAGCTAAAATTTTAAAAATTTACAGTGTATTAAAATCGGTAAAAATTAGGGTGAACGTATCATTATTGGACAAACTGTAAATTAAAATTAATTAATTGTAAAGCTGATCTTAGTTCTCATTCTGAAATTTAAAAAAAGTCAAAGTTTATTTTAATATAGATATACCTATTTATATAAAATTTATTTTAAATATTTTATTTATAAATTCTAAGCGAACCCTTAACCCTTAAAAATCAAAACTTTAATTTAATTTTATATAAAATAATTTGGCCGGCTTTAATACATAAATCTTTTATTTTTATTTAATCAAATAAAAAACATTAACAAACAAATATTTTTAAATCCAAAACAAACATTCAAAACAAAAAAATGTTTACTTAAAGGATTTATTGAGAACGTTTTTGACCTTTTTAAGACCTTTTAAGAAATAAATTGATTTCATTTTTTATTTATTTAATTAAAATATAATTTATTTTAAAAGAAATTCTCAAATATTCAAAAATTGTCAGAAATTATTTAATTATTAATATTTTTTATTCATTATTTTATTTATAAAAATATTATAAAAATAAATTTTGATCAAAAAAATAATATTTTCTAAATTGAATCATCAAAATACCCAAATAACAAGCAAATCATCACCACAAAATTTACCTACCCTCATTTTTACTCCCCAAATTTTTTTGTTTTATTTTTGGACAGTAAAATGTTGTCTGCTTTACATTTAAATAAACTTTTCTTTTAAACAATTTTTTGGAAGGTTCTATTCACATTCCAATCATTTTTTGACCTTCCCTTTTTGGCTAAATTTTTTTTACTTTTTTTTTTAAATATTTTATTAATCATCGCTATTACCTGCTGAGTCAGATGTTTTATTTTTGTAACATTTTTATTTAATCCCAAATAATTATTTTTTATTCTTCACACTTGCATGGTTTAAAAAATCTTTCATCAATATACACAAACTGACACACAAATTTGCGACAATAAATTATTTTTCGTAAAAATATATTCTTTGATGTTTAGTATTTTCTCCGTTACTTTAATTCACAACTTTTGAATTAATTTTTAATATTTTTATTATCGCCGATTTTTTTAATATTTTCTCGCTTTTGAGAGATCATTCGATTTTGGCCAAAATATTATTACTTTTTCTTTTGAATATTTTTATTTATTTATTTTTATCTTAAATATTTTTATATTTTATTTTTGATTCTTAAAATTTAGCCTTATTGTTTTAAAAGACGAAAAAAATTAAAAAAATCTTTTCCAGCCCCATCTTATTATTTTTTTGTTTATTTCTTTATTAGCAAATTTAGGTATATTAAATATATTTCTTTGGTTCTGTTTTCAAATTTTTTTGTTTAATTAAAATTAATGTTTCATTTTATTTTTCTTTTAATTATATTTATAGTCTTTTGTACAAACATTTTTATTAAAAACTTTTTTATTCTCCGATGAAGATCAAAGCCTTTAAAAAAGAATTGGCAAAAGAATAGGCCAAACAACTTTATTTTTCTACAAAAGCGCGGCAGCTTAGCTGCAACAGCTTAACCGAGTTTTTAAATAAATAAAAATGGTATTTTCTTTATTTTAACACAAACACAATTAAATAAAAGCATTCCATTAAATAAAAAATTTTCTTTTTAAAAAAATTATCGCCGATCTTTTACTATGAATATATAGAGCTCTGTATTTATTCCTTTCTGCTTTTTTGTATTCACACTTTTGCAAAAAAGTAAAAAAATCTCTGTTTTAGTTGATCGTAAAAATTCTTTTCTAATTAATTAATCTTTAATCTTATCATTTTAAATAATTAATTAAATAATTAAATTAATTAAATTCGACCGCTTTTATATCAAATAAATTAGCAATTGTCAAAAATATTCGTTCATAATTTTGAGAATTTAATTTGTTATCCAATTCCCTGTTATGACACCTTATGGCAGTTAAGTTATGCCCCGAGAGGGATGTGTTAAAGAGACTCGACTGTAATTATTCTAATAATTATAAAAATACTATCTAATTTATTTTACAAAAATTTATAAATTCAAAAAGAGTTAAAGTTATAAGACTGACATTAACAATATCCTAGTTATAAGAAAGCCTCAATAAATTGCTATAAAGCGCAATAAATGACCTGTAAAAATGCAAATAAAAGAAGGAAATTTTTTTTCAAAATCAACAAAAAAACAATTTCTGGTAATTAGCTAATTCTTCTCTTTATTTCACACTAAAAGTTAAAAAGATAAAATAATTATAATGGGATATCCTTTATGTGAATTTTTATTTTTTTAAATTATTTTTTAGGTTTTTTTATTTCTTAAAATTTTATTTGGGTGTGGTTAGCTAGCTACATTGAATACCCAATACCCTTCTCTATCAAAACTAACAATTTTCTTCTTATTCAACAATTATTTTTAAATTTATTTCACGGATATTTGTTTGAGAATATATAAAGAATTGGGAGAAAAAAAGTTTTATTGCTTTTCCCAATAGGCGCGCAAACCCGACCATTTTCTCTTTATTCCTATTATTTTCTGTTGTGAAAACATTTTTACCTTATATTTTTAAGCTTTAAATTTATTTAAAATTTTAAGTAATTTTATTATAAAATATATTTTCTTTATAAATCCGTTAAATAATAAAATGGCTAATCATTTTTGACTTTATTGTATGTGTAGACCAGACAGTTTTTACTATAATTTCTTTATAAAAATTATTTAGTATCCTCTACCAAATATATTTATTTTGTAAATAAAAACAAAAACAACCAAAAATTTAAATAAAAATTTAAAAAATAATAAAGAAATTCGCACGCCTAACTTTTGAACTTTTCTCACAACAGGTTGCAATTTTTTGAAATTTAAACTGCGTTTATTGCGCATAAATTTTTGAAAGAAAAGGACATGAGAATAATAAATAAATAAATATTTTTTTTGAAAATTAATTTTAAAATATTTTCTTTAAAGATTTTATTTTAATTTAGAATCTATTTTCTTTATTCAATAATATGTATACCGTATTTACTCGATTAATTCCCCACCCTCGAATAATTCCCCACCCCCTATTAATTCCCCATGCAAGGGGTGAATTGAAAAAATAATTCCCCACCCCCAAATACCCTAATACACGTTCAAATTTCAAAACTCGAATAATTCCCCACCCCCTAATAATTCCCCATGCTACGCATGGGTTGAAAAAATAATTCCTCGGGGGAATTAATCGAGTAAATACGGTAAATCAAATCGAAATTTACATAAAAATTTTAGAACTATGTAGAGGTGTAGGTTTCAACAGTCTCCTCGGTTAATCGAAATCAACTAACAAACCGAACCAAAAATCTTCGGTTTTCCGATTCGGTTCGGTTTGAAACCGCCACACTATTCAGACTTAAAACAAAAAATTAAGAATTTCCAATCTTTCCCTAAAAAGTATAAAATAAAAATTAACGAAAAATAAGCCAAAAACAAAATTTCTTTTCTTTCATATTTTCATGTGTTAATGTTTTCGCCTTCTCGAATTTCCCAGATATGTACAAAACAAATAAAAATGCTTAGATGCCCCTAAAAACAACAAAAACCGTTCTTTAACACATTTCCCAAAAAGCTAAGCGGTAAAATTAAAACAAAAATTTTGTCGACACTTTTAACTAAATTTACCTTTATTTTATTATCTTTTTTTGTTTAAACAAAAATTTGTTTCTCTTTATTTTAATTCTTTCCTCACCCCTTCCCTCCGTCCCTCCTTCACTTAATTTTAAAGTCCTCTTCAACCTTTACTTTCTCATGTTAACTTGTCTGGGTCAGTCGGTGCTACCTGATCATTTTTCTTTTAAACAAAAAGAATTATTATTTAGAGCTTTTTACATTTACCAGCTGCATTTTACTTTAAAAATAAATGCAAATATTTATTTTATTTTTGTTTTAACATTTTTGTAAAGCTTTTTGTAATTTTATACACAGCTGCAGAAGTTTAAAAAGTTAATTTATTTTTGTAATCAAAGCTTTAATTAAACATGAATATTAAGTTTGGAATTTATTGGCCTCTTTTGATTATAATTATATTAATTATTTAATTTTAAAATTAATAAATCGAAAAATTCTAATTAATATTTTTTTGATTAAAATATTATTAATTATATTTTAGTTTAAGGCAATTCTACCAACAAAAATAATTAATTAATTGCACATCAAATAAATGTTTTTTGTAATGTTCCGCTATTTTGATTATTGTCCTTGATTAATATTTTTTATTTTATTTTTTATATTTTTGTTTATTTATTTTTCTTATCAGATTGACCGATTTTTTGAAAGTATCATCAATAATCACTCAATATTTATTTTTATTAATTAATTATTTAATTTTCTCAAATATTAAATATATTTTTGATTTATAAAAAATAATTTGCATTTTTAATTTTAACCGTTATTCAATTTAAATAATCGTTGATTGTACTATTATTTATATGTAGTAGCATCACTTTCATTTCCAAATATTTATAAGTACATTTATGTAAATCTTCCTAAATTTTCTCTCATCCTTCCCCCGTGCTAATGACTATTTTTAGAAAAAAGCACCTGCCCCTTTAAATCGGCATTTTTAACGAGCTGAGGAAGAAGAAGAGCTTGGGCGCCCACACACATGGCCTCTTCTTCCCTAAATTTTCTGTGTGTACTCTTCCTTGTTGTTCCCCCTTCACCCATAACAATCATTTTCTGTCCCATCCTTAACAATAACAACAACAAAAACACAAAATCCATTTTTTACATAATTTTCGCGTTGCTTTTCTGCAACGATTTGGCGTTGACAACATTCTTCCCTATCCCCTTCCTATTTCATTGTGACCCTTTCCCTTATGCTTCAAGTCACTGTCCATGCTGATGAGGGGGAAAATAAGGGTTGTTCTGAGGGAAAAAAGGCAAAAAACATAGCGGCAAGGCTGGGAATGAGAAAAACGCAAGGGGAGTAACCAAATGAAGAAAAAAAACGGAGGAAGAAGAAGAATAATAATAAAAGTGACGGCCAAATCCGCTCTTTTTTTATTCAAAAATCTGCCTTTCCATAATAACATTTATCTTCACCTTATCCCCTTTATTTTCCTCAGCCTCTCCCTCACCCCCCCCCCCCTTACCCCCATCCCTCCTTGAATGAGCAATAAATCCATGCAAGCCACTTTTCATTATTATTTGTCTTCTCAACGGGAAACCTAAATAAATAAATAGTTACTGTTTTGTTCTTTTATTTGTTGAAAGATTTACTTAATTTAATCTTTCTATTTGTGTTCCTTGCGCATATTTTTTTATTTTACTCCCCTCAGGTTATTTTTTGATTTTTAGGTTGAATATATTCATTGCGTTTTTTTAAAAATTTTTCTATTATTTAAAAAAAACGGTTATATTCATGCATATTTTTAATAATTTTTTTTCTAATTCTAATAATTTTAATTACAAGTTTGAATACATTCTCAATATTGGCGATCATGTTAATAGTGGCTTTTATTTTGGGGTCGTATTCATAATTTAAATGAAAGTCAAACTTTGATTTCAGAAATTATACTACATATTTTGTTTTTTTATTTAATCAAAGTTTGAAAAACGAATTTCGGATCAAAGACACCCAATTAGTTTTTTGGGTGTCTGCAAATCCAAAAGTTTTTGTTTCCATTAAAATCAAGACTGATCAAAAAGTTTTATTTTATATTTTATGAAACCTAATATAATATTTTTGCTCTTTAATTAAGCTTTCCATCAATAAATTAAATTTTATTTTAAATTTTCATAATAATTTAAATAACCATACAAAACAATTAACCAATTTCCGAATATTTTCTCTTTTCCATTTTCATTTCCGCTTGGATTCCCAACTGATTGATTGACGGATTTCTCTCTTTTGCTTCTCCCATAATTTGATGTGGGGTTCTCACTGATTTTTATTTTAAAAGAACACTTTTAAATCTTTTGAGATTTGCCTTTAATGATTTCTTTTTTTATTATTATTAACGTCTATTAATGATTAGAAATCATTCAAATCGCACTTTCCAATCTATCATTTCCCCTTATTTTTTCTCTCATTAATTTTTCGCCGCTCTTAAATTATTTTTTTTCTCCCCTTCGATTGGCATAAGCATAAATATTGAAGGTAAAAATAAATAAATAATCGGTGTCCATAGGCCGATTATAAAAAGAAAAAGACGGATGAGGCCGATAAGGAAGGAAGATGATGGAATGCTTAATAGAAAGTACTGAATGTTGTGTTGTATAAAGGTGAAGGACGCAAAAGCAATTTTTGAGCAAAAAATTAAATCGGGGCAAAAAATATGTGGGGAGATGGACGGCGGACGCTAACCGAGTTTTTTTTGTTTTTACAGTTCCTCTTCCTATTTTTTACAGTTCTTCCATTCCCCCCCCCCCCCATTACATTCCGCGTTTTTTCTGTTGCCAACTAATGGTTGAAGTCAGACAGGTGCCCTGCTTTTTTTTAAAACGCGAAATGTCATCGAGCAAATTTTTTGCTTCCAAACGAATAGCCTTTGTATAATTTTTTAAAATTATTCTTTCAATGTCTCAAAAACCACAAACATAGCCATTTTTTCTTTCGTCTATTTATTTTATTTATGAAGCAAATCCCAATCGTCTCCAAAATTGTTAATTTATCCTTTAAATAAGTTAAACAAAAAATTTTTCCTCAAAACTTGTTAATAATAATAATTTTTTGAAATATTTATTGAATTATTATCAATTAAAAATTTCCCTTCAATTATAATTTATTGTAAAAATAATAAGACTATAATAAAACAGAAATATTTATTTGTTTCTACTATTTTCTTATCAGTAGTTATGAATTTATTTTTATTATAGCTAAATAAAAATTATTATCATTAACTATTTAATAATTAAAAAAATATTCAAAACAAAAATTTTTGAGATATTATTTAAAAAGAATTTTAAATATTAAAATTACTTTTATTAAAATGAAGATTAAGATGTTATTATTCTAAATATTATTAAACTCTTAAATAAATAATTTCTGTTTTTTGGTACTTATCGGTTATAAGCCCACAAACTGATTGTCATACGACATTGATTGGCTATAACTTTTTTGAGCTTGATACAGTTCAAATAAATCTTATATCATTCGAACGCCCTCGATAAGCTGTATCTTTTTTCTATAGCATAGATCAAGTCTGATCACTCATTTAGAAGTTATAACACAATAAGTCCAGTTATTTGGTGTTTTTCAGAATTTCGGGTAATAACTTTTTAACGAGTGATTAGACTTGATCCATCAAGTTGGAAAGTAATTAAAATATACATATTTTTCCAAATTCAAAATTTAAATTTAAAAATTATTTAACTTTTATTTATTTTTTTTTTCTTTTTTCCAAACAAACTCATAAATATATTTATTATTTTTCATTCGAACACTTTCTCTCAATTGCTTTCCTTTAAAAATAAAAATAATTCTTTTCCTTTACTATAAAGCATTAAATATTCGGAAAAATACAAAAATAAATAAATAATTTTAAAAAAAGATCCGAAAATATAGATATAAATAAATAAAGTTTATTTTATGTTACTCAAACAATTGATGGATTATTTCCTCAATATTACAAGCAAAACAAACAATAATATTTATCAAACTTTTTTAATGTTTTTAAACCACTCCTTTTAAACGTTCATTTTTATTTTTTAATCAAAATTTTGTAAAGAATTTTATTAAAAATATTATTTTTGTTAAATTTGATTGTAACAAGAAATAAGTATTTAAATTGAATTTTTTTCTAAAAATTAAATACATTTTTGTCTTTAATATTTTGCAGAATATATTTATTTTTCGAATTTGTCATTATTTCCCATTAAATTTTATCAGAGTATAATTATTTAATATAATACATAAAAAAAGTATAATTATTCCTGATCCGGATATCCGAAGATTTCCCAAGATCCACCAATCCTATACTTAATTTCTCTTTTTTTAAATTTAATTCTTATCTTAATTTTTATTTTTTTTAATTTATAGACTTTATTCAACTTAAAGGAGAAGGATTTCATTTAAAATAATATACCAAATTAACACCAAGACTATTCAAAACAACTCTCAAATTTACATATAAAATAACTATTTATTTATTAACTTTAAAATAAACATCAAAATTTAATTAGAAAAATTATTTTTTGAGGGTTTTCCTCGTTATAATTTTCAACTTGCCAATTTAACGTTTAAAAAATGTTTAAAAACTGCCATATTCATCACCACACAAATTCTTCACCAAACAAAAAAATAAATTCAGCAGCTTCCCTTCTAATTCTTTTATTAATTTTATGTCGATCTTCTTTATTAATTATTGCTGGAGGTGTTCACAGATTTCCCCAATTAGATGCTCCTGTTGGAAGGCCTTTTACTTTTGCTATTGCAGAAGGGCATCATATCGATATTGAAAGACTTCCTGGATGGTGTAAATTTAATTCTAGTGCTAAATTGCTTTATGGAATTCCTCAATTGTCTAATGTTGGGTTGGAACATATTCTTATACATGGTATGGAGACCTTCTTTAATTTAAATTTAAATTAGAGATTAGATTATATATTGAATTATATATTGAATAATTATGAAATGGACTGTAAAATAAGGGATTTTTCTAAATACATTATTAAAATATTTACACTTAATCCCAGTTAAGAGATCATTTATCTATTTTCCATTGTTTTTTTTGTAAATTAATTATGCCGATAATTTTAACTTTAAAAAATTTAAATACTTAATTTATTATTGTGTAGATTCGCTCATTGAAGTTAAAGTTTATGAGGAAGAGGATAACATTTGTGGTAAAGATAGTTCAACTTATTGGCTTGAAATTATGGATCCTCGACTATTAAATAAAATTTCAATTCAAGAACAATTGTTTGTTTTGATTTGTTCTTAAATAACTTTTAATTTTATTATCAATTTTTAAGCCAAACAGTCAAAACTTTGCTTTCAATGCTTAAAAATACACAATTACGAATGGGTGATGTCCGAATCTTTCCGAGATCTTATTTGGAACGTTATAGACTAGTGACAAAAACTTTATATGAATTGGCTTCTAATATAAATAATTATGATAATAATGGTGTTGTTATAGCTTTAAATATTAGTTGTGGGGAAATTGATGATCAAGCTGCTGATATTATTAATGAAGTGGCTGATGTATTGCCTTTTCAGGTGGTTCAAATTAGGGATATTTTAGCTTTTATATTTTTAACTTCCTTTAATCTATTAACATTTATAATTGTTAGTCCTTGAAAATTAATCTGTTTAAGGTGAACTTGTAAAAATAAATTATTAAATTGAAGTAGCGATGTAATTCGCAAATTAAAAAATGCTCAGAAATTTCTAAAATAATAATAATTAATCTTCTTTGGGTTGGGTAGATATGTATTTTTAAATGACCCTCCACTTAATAAGCTGGTGTTATTAACCTTAAAAAATTTATTTTATGAAAAATTTAAAAAATTTAAAACCTTTATAAAATTTTTTTAATAAAGTTTTGGGTATCCAAAACCTATTGGAAACAATAATCCTCTACTTTCGTCACATTAAAAATTAAAATAACAATAGGAGGATTTTCTATTTATTTTAATTTCTTCTCTATTATTAGGTTGTTGAGGGTGAACTTCGTAAAGACAGACCGTTTATACCTACAACAACACAAATCCAGACAACTACAAGTGCAACTACCAGAACAACGAGAAGAATTCATCAACCTTTAAAGGAAATAAATGAAAAGCCTATTTTAATTAATCCAATTAAAAGGTTTTTAAACGAAAATAAAAAATATTATTTAATTTTTTAGTTTTCATTGTTCTCGTGGAATTCTTTGTCGATTACCTATTGATGAAAATACATTTGTTGACCCTGAAGATGGACATACTTCAAAACTTTCTCTCAGTGTTCATTCAACTGAAAATAATAATTCTAACAATTTTTTGGTCGTAATTCCCGGTCAAAATATTTTAGAAGGTATTCCTGTTACCGGGGAATTTGGAGAAGCATCAGCTAAAGAGGAGGAGGAATTTACTTTTAGATTGGAAGCTAGAGATAGCCAAAACGCTGTAAGTTTAATAATAAAATTTATTTTTATGTTTTTCAATCCCTTCTCTAAGGGCACTCTAATGAAGTTGACCGTTCAATTAGAAAATATAGTAATGGGAAGTATGTATATAGTTAGTTCTATCCCGACTTAGAACTAACTATATATCCCGACTTAAAAATTCAAGTTATTTAATTTTGGTTCTTTTAATCATTATTAAGAACCACTTAAAATAATTTAAAATTCTTAAAAATCTTAATTCAAAAATTTATTTAGGCACAATCAGCACCATTTCAAGTTTTTGTTTCTCGTCCGCCACTTGATGGGCCTAAGCCTAACCATCGTTACTCAATGGTTTTGGATGTCCCTGTAGAGCGATTTCATTCAAAGCCAGAAATGCTTCGTGATTTTGTTTATAGATTGAGTGGAATTCTTAAACGTTTTCCTCTTCCATCTGGTTTGAAAATTTTAAATGCTACAAAAATTCTAAACAAAAAATCTTAAACTTTCGGGGCATAGAGACAATTTTTTAATTCTAATTTTTAATTCTAAAATTGGAAGAAATTTTTTTCGGACATAGAGAATGTTTTAATTCTAATATTTCATTCAAAAATTTTATTTTTAAATATTTGAAGCATCTTCACCAACATTTTTACAAACACCAGAAAGAATAGAAGCAGCCACAGAAATTTATATTGACCGAATAACAGATAATGGTTCTGGCCAAACATTATTACAATGGTGGGATGCAACAGTTAGTAGATCACATTGTGACGAAAAAAGAATTAATTCAACTAAAGAACGTATGGTACATCAACATCATCATACTGGAGTAGAAAAAGTTCGGCATGAATTTGCTAAACAAATGGGTGCTCAATTTCATGTTAGAAAGGTAAAATTTAAAGGAATTTATATAAAATAATGGAAATTATTTTGTTTAAGTTATTTTATCGTTATTTTTATCTTCATTGATTCCATCCTCTATGTATGGTCCTAAAAATTACGTACAGTCTAAGTATGGCTTTTATGAACCTAAATCGGGGGATGCTTTGTCAATAAAATTTTATTCACCCCCAAAACTCTCCTACCTCCACCTAATCAAATATTCAATAAATTTAAATTTAAGGTCACTCTCGAACTTCTGGGCAAATGTTTAGCTCAACATATGCTTGATTCTATGCGTGTACGTGTTTATACAACTACACAACGAAATACTTTAGCTGTAGAGGAAGGAATTGGAAGTGTTTTTAGTGGTTGGACACAAACATTATTAATCCCTTTAATTTTGATTGCAACAATTTTGTTGTTAATAACGGTTTTGGTTTTGTTGTGTTGTGCTCATCATAGAAGAGGAAAAAAAGGAGCTAGAATAAATAGAAGAAATGAATATACAACTAAAGGTATTGTTTTTTGATAAGATAATTAAATAAATTTTTTTGAATATTTTCTAATGCTTTTTGTTTCAGTCAAAATTAAGAGAAAAAATTATAAACTTGATCATCATTGATGATCAAACTTGATCATCATTTCTTTATTTTTCCCTTAAAATATTTAAATTTAAAGGCCGCCCAGTTGTTTTTCCTGATGAAGTTCCTCATAGAGATGAGGGAAGTTCTGCTGATGGTTCTTTAGCTACAGTAACAACCCCAATGCTTATGGAACGTGAACAGCCCCCTCTAGATCCAAATAAAATGACTATGCATGAAAATCCACTTTATCGCCCCCCTCCACAATTACAAGCACAATTAACTAGAAATGGAACATCTAATTTAAATGGAATAACTAATGGGCATGCACAAAAACAGCAGCATGAAATGAGTCCACTGAGTAAGTTTAAATGTTATTGCCAAATTCTCTCTCTTTAATTTAAGATCAAAATTAATATTTGATCATTGTTTTATATTAATATTTTAAAAAATTTTAAATTTTATTTTTAAATAGGTGGTGGGAGCCCTGGTTGTCAATATATCTCTCAACAACAAAAAAGCCCTCCACTCCCACAGATGGTCAGTACATTCAGCCCTCCTGGCGCTCTTCGTGCCATTGACGCCTCTCCAACCCCTCAAAGGGCACATCCAACACTCCCCTCTACATTCCAGAGAGAACATCCACATCAACATTCTGTCCGTTTCCATCAACATCCAACACCTGTCGGTCAAAGGATGCCACCGCCATATATTGCACATTAAAAATATTTTCTTTTTTGATTTTTGAAGAATAAAAAAGAATAATTGTGTAAAAACATAATTTCAAATTATTTATTTATCCAATTATGGACATTTCTATATATCTCACAAAATTTCCTCTCTATGTAATATTTCTTCAGGCTTTAAAATAATTTCAGTATTTTTAGAAAGGATTGTCATAATAATTAATTGAACATTTATTAAGAAACCAAAAATTCAAAATTCTCTAAAACTAAATTTAATGCAAATAAATAAACAACGCAAACAATAATAAATCTTTAAGGAAATTAACTATTTAATACCAAGTAATTAAGTACATAAATATTCGAATTAATGCCTGAAAAAATCAAAATTTACTAAATTATCAATCTAAAAATCATTTATTGAATCTTGTACTTTGTTTTTAAAATATTTTTGATTTTTTTTAAATTTTTGTAAATACCTATAAGCATTAAATTAATATTTTAACCTAAAATGTCCAAAACTTTGAAATATTTTAAGATTATTTTAATAAAAATATTTAATTTTTCATCTTTATTTACAAAAAAATCTCTTAATATTTTCTAAAAATTTTCCCTAAACCTAAAACTATTATTATTCTCATCTCATTCCTATATTTCAATTAATATTATTAACTATTTCTTTTGCTTTCACATTTATCTAATCTTTTTAAGCCAGAAAACTTGTTTTTTTTTCTCACCAATTTTATAAAATAAAATAAATTTGTCAATTTTTTCCTAAAATATTTTGAATATTTTTAGTTTAGTGTCGATTAAGAATAATTTTTGAGATATATTTTATGGAAACGAAAACTAACTTATGATCAATTGTAAAAGATTTTTCGGTTTAATTTTTTAGCATGGATGATCCTGATATTTTTGAGGAAGTCTGGGGTCAGAAATTGGGATTATGAGGGATATCAGAAGATTGACATGATTAAGAGGTCAACGAAAGATAAAAAGGTTTTAGTATAAAGAATCAGGAATATGGTATGATTAAGGAAATATTGTTGGATTTGAATTGATTAAAGCAAATATTGATAGATTTGGAAAGATTGGGGATAGCCTTTAAATAAAGGCTATTCCCAAAAATCTAAATAAAATAAATTCCTTTAGATAGTTTATACAATGTTGTAATTATTTCTAGAATATAAGCACTCACTCCTAAAAAATTTTTTTTAATTGAGCACTGAAAATTTAAATAAAAAATTAATGAATATTTTTATTTAAACTTCTCCTTATTGAAAATGTGTTACAAAAATAAAAATTTATCCTTAGTTTAAAAATATATAAATCTTTTAATATAATACATATAAGCTCATTTTATATCAAAATTAATTCAAATTCATTCAAATGTTCATTTTTAACGTCTTTACCAACGATGTCCCCATCCATGGTAATGTCCCCATCCTCCATGATGTCCCCAATGTTTTTTTTTTGTTTTTTAAGAATTATTTTTTAACTTTAATTTATTAGAATTATTTTTATTTAATTGTTTTTAACATTTATTTTCTGTGTTTTTATATATAAAATTTTTGGGGAATTTATTTTGTTTATTATAGATATTTTTAAAAAATTTTATTTCCTTAAATTACATCAATTTAATTTGACTTACTAATACATAAATTTATAAAAACAAAAGAAATACTTTTTATGTAGACAATAAAAACACAACCTTTTCTTTAAATTTATTTCTTTTTTTATCAATTAAACTTTTATTTAAAGAAAGTTTAAATTAGTAAATAATTTCCAGTTCATAATACATATTTAGTGGTAGGTGAACTAAATTAAAATTTTATTTACTTACTAATTAATTTTTAAAGGAAGTAAATATATTTTAACTGATTTTTATAAAATTCAAGTTTACTAACATTATGTTAATTATATTTTTAGAAGGCTAATTATTTAGAAGGCTATTATTTCCCAAAAATAAATCACACCCAAATAATTAAAATTGATTTATGAAACAAGTTAGATTAATTTAATTAAACTTCCATTTTAGATTATTAATAATTTGAAATTTCTAAAAATTTTATTCCTTATAAAAATCAACAAAATTTTAATGATCGCGGCGAGCTAGATAAGAGTCAAGGTTCGAGATGAAAATTCCGTTTCTTTGAAGACTAAACCAAAAATATGAAAAAGATGTTCCAAAAAATCTTAGAGATTAAAGTTCAAAAATCATGTATACTCTGTCAATCAAAATATAAGAAAATATTAATTAAAAATTATGTGTTATGATGTTACCAAAATTTTTTAAAATTATTTTTTCTTTATAACTGATAAGAATATAAAAAAATTTGATTTTAACTTCAGTAGATTAATTCGAAATTCTTTAAAATAAAAAAAGTAAATTTTAATTTTAAAAAAATTTTAGGGCGTTAATAATTAATAAACTATTAGAATTTTGATAAGAATAGTAGTTAATTTTACTTTTTAGTAAACAATAATGTGAGTCACATAATATTCTAAAAGGATGTTGTTCTTATCATTTTTTTCTGTGCACAAATTTGCGATAAAATTAAGAAATATTTTGTTTGTTTACTCCTAAATAAATAAATATAAATAAACAATATTTGAGAAATTAATTTAAAAAATAATTTTTTAAAATTATTTTATTTAAAAATTAATTTTTACTTGTAAAAATAATTTTCCAATTATTCTTGTAAAATCTTTTATTATTATAAAGTTTCTACCCTAATAAATAAAAATCAAAGCATTTTCTTCATTGATATCCAAATAAAGTTTTTTTTAAAGAATTACAGGAAAAATTTCTTTTAAAATTTTAAATTTTTTTGAATTATTTTTTAGTTAAAGAAATTTATTTTAGAATTTAAATAATTTTAAATAAAAATGAAGTCTTTCATTTGCTTTTTATTTATTGCTTTTACAATTTATTCAACTACTTTTGCCATTCCTATAAAGGATAATGATAGACCAGAATTTTCTCTGAAAAATGAGGAAAATGAAAATGCTGGAAAGGAATTAATATTACAAAAATCTAAAAAAGCTTCAGAAAATATAGTTAATGGTGCATATTGTTATGATAACAATTTAGCTACATATATTAATAATGGACTTTATTATTATCCTCAAAATATGGGACAGCTTTCTAATTATATTTTAGATCGGGTAAATTAATTACATAGTTTAAGGTTGGATTGTTTTACGTATTTTTGAATATTCGTTCTTTTATTCCTCGCTGATAACGGTATAAGTTTATTTCCGAATACCTGATTTGTAACCGATCAGGGCAAGTGTTTCATCATTTTGTTGCATTAAAGTTTAAAGCATTTCTTCGAAATTTATATAATGTTATCAGTTTATGGTGGTACGACAATTGTTTATCCGCAATTATCATAACACCCCTTTAGTAGCGAATTCTTTATGAAGTGAATCAGAGTTCCGACTAAAATACAAACCTAGTATTTTTATATCAGTATTTTTTATGTAATCATAATTAATCTAATTTACATTTTAAAATATTTTGTTTATATCTTAGATCAAATCTGCGCGTTATTCAGGCTATTGGTTTGTGCATGCGGTAAGTTTCTATAAGAAAAATAATTTTGAAATTTTTAATTGCTTGGAAAAATATTTTTAAAGGCAATAATTACTGGTCAAACTCAAGGTCTACATTGGCAGTCCTCTGCAACTGGCGATATTTTTTCGCCAACCAGCCGACACGGATGTAATTTTCTAAGATTTCAAAGAATAACTAAAATTCAAAATAATTTTTAATTAACAGGCTATTATCATGACAATTATACTTACGTTATTATCTTGAAATATTAATGAGAAAGGAAGTGAGGTCAAGAAAGAAGACAAATTTAAGTCAATTTTTATTTTATCTATTAAAGTAAAATAAAAGTATAAAAATATTTTGTTTTGAAAAGTCATATTTGCTTCCTAAAACTTATTACTAAGGCTAATACACTAAGGCTTTGTAAATTTAGAGATTGATTTCCTAAATATAACGAATAATGCTAGAATTATTTTAACGGAATTGGCATTACCATAAAATAAGATTATCATTTTTTTATTATTTAAATATATCTTATGTATTTGGCATTGAATTTTTTTGTAAATTTTTTTTTCAATTCTCCCAGAAAAGGAAAAATACTAATCAAAATTTATAATAGTATACTATTTAATTTCAAGTTTTTCTTTTTAATTTTTTCTTTCTTTCTTCCGGAAAACTCCAACGTGTATAGTGAGGATCTACATTATTATTATCTTTTTGTTTTTGATTTGGATTGGTTGAAGGCAAAATTTCGGCATTTGTAGTACTTGAATTTTCTTTCTGTAATTTAGTTATGTATTAGTTGATTTTTTTAAATTATATGTATTTTAAACCTCCTCCCCATTTATTTCTATTTGTTGATTTGTTTCAGATAATAAAATCGAAGTACAAAATCCACAAGTTTGTTGACATTGAATTTTAATAAGCCTTTGGTAACGTATTTCTGCACAAAACCCTCTTTGAGCCAAAGATTGGCAATTTAATGAACGGTCGCCGCATGAATTACCCAAATCTTTAGAATCAACTGCACCAACTTTTGGGCGAAATTTTCGTTCTGAAAATAAAATTTCTAATTATTTTATAAAATTAAAAAATTTTAAAGCAGATTTTGAAAGCTTTTTTTAATAAATAAAAAATAAATTTGTTTATCAAAAAATAATTCACTCAACTTTTTGTTGAATCACAACCACTAAGTATTTGTAGTTTTTCAATATCGAGATCTGTTAATTCTAAATTGTCACGTAAGACAATTCCCTCCTAATTAAAAATTTTTTAAATTTCCTCAAAATTTTCCAAACCCTTTTAGGCTTCATTGTCATCATTGGCTTTCTGCTTCGTTTATCAACTCTTCCAAAAGCAGTGCCGTCATAATGCATAAGAGAATGGTAATCATAAGTGTGGTAAATATCAACATCAGTTAATTTTATTTTGTCAAAATTAACTGAAAAAAAGGGGAATTTTAATTGTATTTTATTTTTTTATTATATTGAGTGGAGCTTTTAATTTTTTATTTATACATTTCCGTAAAATTTAATATAATTTCCCATTAATATTCTAACTTTCTTTCCCAGGCTCAACGTTTTTCCATTGTATTTCAATATATCGATCACGGTCTGGTCTTTGATGTTCATGCTCTAAACCTATTAAAATAATTAAAATTAAAAACAATTTCTAAACTAAAATTATTTATATGTATTGAGTAGCTTCTTGTTAGTGATATATCTTTATGTTCTTACAATAGAAGTTTTGAATAAATATATAGGTAAATAAAATAAATTAAATATTTTATTAAATTCTAATAGAATCCACATTCATCTGATAGCATTTAGAACTTAAGGGGCTTAGAAATTTATAAGGAGAAAAAATTTGATTCTTGTCTTGGGCCTAGCTTTTGCTAAACTATTAATTAACGAATATTAAAGTTAAATTTACTTACCTAATGCATGCATAACTTCATGCCTTTAATAAAATTATTTAAATAAAAATATTTTTAAAAATACCAAATAATATAATCATTAAGGCATCCAGCTGCTAATGAAAGTAATTGACGTCCACCAACTTTACCAACAAAAGAAAAACAACCCTTCAAGATTTTTTTAAATTAAAAAAATTTATATATTTACTTCACGCATATCAAAATAAATAAAGTCTTTTTGATTATCTCGAGGTATAAAACGGAAACAGCTGTTTGCCTCTATAACAGCAAGAGATTCGCGAATAGCTTCTTTTCTAAAAGAATTATTTTTTATAATTTTAATTGAGAGTTAAACAAAGCTCATGCATAAATTAATAATTATATGTAAATGTAAAGCATATAGCTATTTAATTCCTAAGGCCGTGCAGAAGGCGGCGTGGTGTAATGGCTAACACATTAGTCGGTCTACTGAAGATGCTGGTTCGCTCCCAGCCGCCGATTAACTTTTTGCACTAGCTAAAGGAGAGAAATAGCTACAGCCCAGCTGCTTTAATTAATTAAAGTTTAATTTAAAAAAACTTCCACTATACTTAACTGTCTTTCAGAGAATTTAGGTGAAAATAAAAAAGGTATTTCATTGTCAATCCAACGATTATTATGCCTTTGTTTTATTGCAATATGTCTTGTAGGTATTTGCTGTAATTGTTCATCTGTTTCCTCTTCAATTTCTTTATCTTCTAATTTTTCTTGTTCCTTTATTTTATTTTCTTTTGACAAACTTTCAATAATGTTTGGAGGAAGAAGTCTACGCATTTTTAATTGTTTGGGGGAAAGTACTTAAATATACCTAATTAAATTTCTCCCTTATATTTACTTACAAATATCTCCGTAAATTAAAAGCTGTTTTTCACTAGTTCCAACCATTTTTTCATTAAATTTATAAGGAGAATGAGATAATTTTATATCTACATCATTTTCATTAATTGGGGCAGTTAAATATATTAGTGGCATATTAATTAATATTATAATAATTATTTTTATTTGTTTATGGCTAGTTTTCATGCTTAACATACAATATTGTAAATGAATCGAAATGAAGGGAAAGAAATAATTTTTTGGAAAAATTAGGGACAAATTTAAAAGCCTTCAAATCTTGATTTAAGCTTGCTTTTACTTTCTCAAATAATATTTTATAATAGGTAATTTTTAACAATCTAATGATTATTTAAACGGTAATATAATAGCGGAAAATCCTTTTTGTTTAATCAGCAGCGTCTGCTGACTGAGATATAGTCCATTGTCCATATTAAAAATAATAAAGAATATTAATAACGATTAAAACGAATACTACTATTACTTCAAAAACCAGGCTTGTTGGTTTTAAAAGGACTAAAGTCGGCAAAGAAATGATTTTTGAGTAATAATTTTATATCGAATAATTAAACGAGACTTTAATCCGAACTTGTTATTCACTAATATATTTAAATTATAGTTTTCTTTTATTGGAACCAACATACATAGAATATAAACCGACATAAATCCTTGTTTAATTATTCGATCAAAATTTATACTTAAAATTTTTTTATCAAACTTAAGTCATTTTAAAGTCAACAAATTTGGGTTTTAAAATAAAAAATCAAAACGAGTATTGATGGATTAAGAGGATTCGTCTAAAATACCGAGAGAGGTGAGATATTATTATGAAATCAGGGGATAAATAGGGGCAGATTTAGAGCAACCCCGTAATCGTAAACCAGAGCCATCCTGCTACATACAGTAAAGCCTATATTACAATGATACAATCTGTTATCCTTTTAATAAAATGGCTCAAACTTTATCAAATCGTGTAGAAAAATTTTCAATTTTAAATAAAAAAAACAAATAAAAGATATCGTTAAATTTTATCTTTTATAAAAAATTTTCTTTTCTTTTCAATCTTGACACAATTTTTCATATTTCGTGTGTGGCATTTCTTCCTCATAACTAAAGTACTGACATTTTTCTTCTAGGAAACTTACAATGGCCTTAATACTAGGACGATTCTTAGCATTACTTTGAAAACAAGCCTTAAATTTTAAATTGTTTTTTGTTTGAAAATTTGAGGAATTAGAAATTCTACATTTTTTTAAATTAGAAAATATATATTCTTCAAAAATTTACTATTTTTAGGTGAAGAATAATAAAATATTTTAAATTTTAAAACTACAATTAAGTATATAACAAAATCATAATTTTTTTTCCTAATTTTCTTTAGTTCAGAATTTAATTTTCAAAAATTATTGAAATAAGTTATATTGTTTTGTAATTAATAGATTTAAATAAATTGTCTTTATTAATAAATTACAGATATAGAAAATAAAAATACCTTTGCAAGTCTATCCAAACTTCCGTGGCCAAACTTTTTCTTTTCTATTTCGTCTATTCTATTCCTAGGGCTAAACATAAACTTGTAAATCATTACACCGAATGAATAAATGTCAATTTCACGGGAAACCTAAAATATTGAATTTTAAATTTAAATTTTATGAAAATTAGATAAATTATAGTTTCATGTTTTGGATACAAGTTTGAAAATTTCAATTACTAAAAGTATTCAGCTAAGTTAGGGTTTGTTTTTTTAATTATATTTCAGTTGATTTACTTATAACAACAAATAAAAATAAATGTTTTTATATAATTATTTAATATAAAAATTAATTTAAAACACATTTACTTCAAACACACGCTCTACAGAAAAGTCGAAAGGTACATATGGTGTGGTACCAAATACTCCTTGCTTTATAACTTTATCTTCAGTTGTTATAATAGAAAAATTAAAATCTATCAATTTGCATAATTTCAAAGGAACATCAAGATTATGTCCATGAGGTATAACAAAATTGTTTGGCTTAATATCCAAATGAATGCCATCTAAATTTTTAGACAATTAATATATTGTTTTAAAATTGTTTGAAAATTATTACTTGAATAAATCTACAAAATTAAAAGGAATATACACAATGAGAAAAGTATGAGCATTTCATTTTTCGGGTTTACCCTACCATACTACAAAAATTTTAATAAAATACCAACGTTTATGAAATTGTTTAATAGCTTTTGCAGCACATTTAAGCATATTTTTTATAATTCCTTCATGTATACTCTCTTCATAACTATAATCTTCTTCGACTTTTTTTCTAAAATAATCTAATAAATTCAGTCCACCAAGTTCTAAAACAATATTCACTGGGGTTTTTGTTTTTATCTGTCCATTCTTACTTAAAAAATATGCTCGAAACGTACCTACATATTTGGCACGGGGACCTATTATTCCCCTCGCCAATTGTAGGTACGTTTCGAACTTACAATCCTATCATTTTAATAATGCAAGTTCTTTCTTCTTCTGCCAATTTAGAAAAATATTCATGAACTTTAATCTCATTTTCTACTTCAGAAAAATTATTTTCATTTTTCTGAAGCATTTTCAACGCAACACACTGCTTTTTTTCTTTCCAATATGCGTGATATACCTTTAAAGTAAAACATTTTAAACATACATTATCAAAATATCATGGACGTTATTAAAATTTTACAAGCTAATTCATTAAAAGATTAATCTAATATTTGAAATTGGGATATTTTATTATAAAAATCTGGAGATTATTAAATTAAGATTCTTTTACATTTCCAAATGTACCAGCTCCAAGTTTTGATTTAAAATCCATTTTATATTTCAAATGAATTCCTTGATCTATTGTCATAGAGTTTGTTAAATTGATGAGTTTATATTCTCCACATTGACAACACTTTACAGAAATTAATCCAAATAAAGGTTTACATTTGGCAAATATTCCTTTAATTTATTTACAAATATGAAATTATGTAAAAGATGAATCTACCTTGGATTTGTGACAATATCAGAATTAATGGGAGGAATAAATATAATTTCAATAAGTTCATTACTTATCTTGAAAAATAATCAGTAATCAGTTAATTAAATATTAAACAAAAATAAAATAGGTTCAGATAGATTATGGGTACTTTTCCGTTAACGACCGCAAACTGAGTGTCAGCCGGTCTTCGATTAGCTATACCTTCTCTGGGCATTCTCCGATTCAAATAAATCTTAAATAATTCAAAAGCCTATGATAAACGGTATCTTTTTTTAAAAGGATGGATCAAGTCTGATCACTCATTAAAAAGTTCTGATCCGATAAATGCGAAAAACACCAAATAACTTGATTTATCGGATCAGAACTTTTTACTGAGTGATGATCCATCCTTTTAGAAAAAATACCGTTTATCAAGGGCTTTTGAACGATATAAGTTTCATTTGAATTGGATCAAGCCCAAAAAGGTTATAGTCGATCAAAGATCGGCTGACACTCCGTATAACGGAAACGTACCAGATTATGTTTTTTGTCCATTTTTGACTTTTTCTATTTTTCTTAAAATTTCGATATGGATAACCAAGATTTTTGCTATAGTATATAATTTATTATTTATCGTTATCGGAACAGTTCAGTTGAGTCCGCGACGATTGAGTAATCTTCGTAGTATATGTGGAGGAATTAGAGGTAGATCATTTTGATGATTTGGGAGGCTTAAGAGGAATTGTAGTTGAGTAATCTTCGTAGTATATGTGGAGGAATTAGAGGTAGATCATTTTGATGATTTGGGAGGCTTAAGAGGAATTGTAGTGAATTAGGGGGATACAATGGATTTGGGGCTAAAAAAGGATTTGGGTAAATACTCCCTGGATTTGGGGCTCATTTAATCCAACAGAATCCTCTTATATCCCTCCAAATCCCCGATATATCCATAAGCATTTCTAATCTTATTGGAATATAGTTTTTAAACAGTGCTTTGAAAAAAAACAATGCCAAGAACAATTAAATATTTTAGGGAGGGGGGAATATTTTATAGGGGTGGGGTGTTTTTTCAATCGACCTCTAGAGGAGGGGGGCTATTTTAAAGTGGGGTTATTTTAGTGAAATACGGTAGTGGGATTTGGAAGGATATCGATTGAATAAGAGGGATATACATGGATTAAATGTATCACAATATCACCTTATATCTCCAAATCCCATTATATTCACTTAATCGCTCAAAACCTCTTATATCAGACTTAATTCCTCCACATCCATCTTAATCCTCCAATATCGTTTCCAAATCTAATACCCCGATTATAAAACCCCGATTTATATGTGTTACAAAATTTAAAAAATTGATATTTGATCAAAACTTTTTTGATCAAATTTTTTCAAATACCAGATAATTATCAAATTATTTGATAAAATATTTGATTTTGCCGTCTGGCCGATCTCCATGTATTGCTAGATGCAATTTTTATTTTTTTTATTATTATATTATATGATATTTATAAAATATATATTGTTGAAATAAATTCAATATATAGGTAAATCTGCATCCGTTAGGATTTTTCTGGTTTGCCCGGTCGGGAAATAATACGGAGATTGCGAAAACGTGGGAGTCTTTTAGTAGTGAAAATTTACTTTTTCTTTAATTTACCTATATTAACTAAAGTTTTTACTGTATATAGTATATTATTATAATATATTTATTAAAATTTTTATTTTTATTATTCCTTTTGTTGAGTTAAAAAATTTTTATATAAAAATTTTAAGGGGGAGCGCAAAATGAAGACTGCTTTAATAAAAAGTGAAGAGCGAGAATTAAATTAAGAGAGCCAATGAACGTGAAGTTAAAATATAGATTTTTAAAATTCAATAAAAAATTTTTCTATTGTTTAATTTCTTTAGCTAGGTACTAAGGAATTCATTAATGAATATTGATGGAGAAGCAGAGGAAAACATTATAGCCTATAGAAATC